TATTTCACATGGAGACATTAGGACTGTCAGTTCACACATCTGATCCACAGCTTTCTTCTTTAAAGCACTCAGCATGTTCCCCAACTTTTTTACTCTCCTTATGTGCACACACTGTAGGTCCCCACCTCAGGGACAGGCAGGGATTGCGTCCTTCACTGCAATTTATACCTGCCCTCAAGCTTAGTTTATTGCCCAGCCCCCTCCAAACTTCTCTTGCCACGGACTAAGCATTTCTCGGAACGTATGATCTCATTCCTATCTGTCAGCCTAGGCTGCCTTCTGCTTAAGACATATGGAGAGGCATTCTTCCTCCTTGAGGGGTGACCAAGCAGACAAGGTCTCCAGTGCAAACTCTTCAGAGGAAAATGCTAAGAATGGTTCTGAATAAGCTCTGGGGAGCGTAAGTGGATAAAACCGTAAAGGCACAGACAAAAGCATTTCCCTCCACTGATCCAAACAATGTTTACTGAGGCTGATGATTGATATTGCTCTTCAAAATGATTTTTTATCATCATTTTTTGCTAACGAAGCCAGCCTGTTGAAGTGGTGAAAGGACAGTTGCTCAGGGCTGACGACTTCCTCCCGGCTCACAGTTGGAACATGTCTCCTCCGGGTATGCAACCAAAGATATCCAGAGTTCAAGAATTCTGCTGCTTTGCCAGCAAACCGATCCAGCCAGCTGCTAATCCGTTCTTCGCGATACCATGGTCACATAAGATAACATTCAGAATTAGAAGATTTCAACCACTTTTTCCCTCCACCTCACAAATAAAAGTAAACGAGATCAAGTATTTCCTCTCATATTTTCACCACATTTGTCATGTTTCAGGTCTGTTTCTTGTCTGAATCATTAAAGTGCCTTGATGCACAACGGATTAAGTATTTATTTGAATAGTTCACTTTTCCTCTAAATTGAGAAAGTGATTTCAGTTTTTTAATCTGTTCACAGAAAAACATTTAAAGAAGTAAACATCCTATTTACTGTGCAAATACATATTTTCAGTGTTGGCCAACTTCACTAAAAATATTTATAAAAAAATGCCTGTAGTCAAAGACAACAGTTAAGAAATTTTTCGATTTTTTGTTTTAAAAAGACAGCAACTGCTTCAGACTCTATGGAAATACGCAATTGCTCGAACAAGTCAGTACCAGATCGGTCAGCCAGGTATTTTCAACTGCTCCACTGCAAAAAAAGCCCCTGCCAGAGTGGGCAGGCCCCTCGGGCTGTAAGCACTCTGGAGAAGCGAGGAGCAGCTCTCACGCTGCGTTCATCTGCTGTCTAGAAAGAGGAGACCCGGGTAGCAGACTGCCTTGCTGCTATTCTAATACTGTACTAACAGTACTTGTCTGGCAGAGTCTGTCTTAAGAAACAATACAAAAATATTTGCTTAGATACTGTTTATTTCAGCATGAAGGATGCTGGCCAAACATTTCCCTTATGTTATTTTTATGCCCCAGGGCAGTCTCAGATGGGGATTGATGTCATCTACTTGACATATTTGCTGTAAAATAAAATATGTTTATTTTTCATCTAGTAAATCCAGCATGAGGAAACCAGAGAGGCTGAACTTAGCACTTTCTGCTGTGGCCAGCACATCCTGCTCTGACTACCCTTCACATCCAGTTCTGCCCTGCAGCCTCGCCACAGCTTACAGAGCCACATTCATGATTTCTGAAGTGGCTGGAGCCTAACTTAGAAGCCTGTCACCCTGGGCTCCCAGCCTACGTGGAGAAATTGTCATCTCCAACAGGCAGTTCAACCCACAGGCACTGCTAACAGCCTTATTTCTTCCCACCATTTCCAGAGTAAGCGGAGTCCTAATTTTCGAAGCTTACATAGGCGCTTAAGGTTAGCCAAACTAAGTCCATGAAACAAGCCCAAGCACAGTGCTAGATAAGCCAACATTATATCTGCTGCGATGACAAAGAATTCTGTGACACGGTGTTAAAATATTCCTCTGCATAAACCCATAGGAATAATTACAGGAATCACTGGCTAAAGATCCAATTTCCCCTTTTATCATCCTCATTTAAGGTAAATCTCTTGTTAAAACTTACTCCTTTCTAATCCTATACTTCCCAGTTAATTGCATTATCCCTGCTGACAGTATTCAGCTGGTGTCCCTCCTGGGCTGAGGACAGCCCTAAGCCCTCACCCCTGCACTGACAGAGGAAATCCTGGTGCGCTGCAGTGCAGGGCTTCCCTGAAGGTCAACGTCCAGCTCAGATGGATGGCTGCAGGAGACAGGTTCCACACATGGACAAGTGCTATTTCCAAATACATAACATCAAAATGCATCTTGTAACAAATTATAGGTACAGCTCAAGCCTCACAATTACATCTGCGTCTGCTCAGTGGTGTTTGCCAACAGTATATCATCAATACCTCATTGCTGACTCCAGCAGTTGTTTCTGCTGTAGAAATGTCTTTGTGCTTCAGGTTGTCCTCGTACATGAAAGTATGGATGAGAACCAATCTGCTCCCCTCTTCTCAAATAGGAAGTTAAACAAGTTACAAGTCCATTACAATACAAGCCACCTATTTGAAAAAGTCAGAATTTTTAAGTGTAGTAGAATTTTTAAGTGTAGCTGAAAGCTGTGAATTTAATTTTAGAGATTACTAAAACACTGAAAGGAACATTTGTAAATGTAATTATTAAGAGAGACAGAACCCTGGAACTGAGAAATGGAGGAAACTTTTCCTGATAACCTGAATAATGATCTGTCCACACTATAAGTAGAAAATAAAACTCCAGGATGACAAATGAGGCTCACAGGCATGCAGGGCTGCTTCTCATGCAACTGTCTAAATAGGCAAGGCAGACTACATAATGCATAACCAATGCAGAGGCAGAAAGGATACTCCTTACAAAACAGATTCAGTACTTATTGCTGTCATAACATTCTTCAAAGTGGATATCAGGAGAGAGTTGCTAGTTTTAATACCGTTCTTTACATGGAAATAATTCTTTTACTTCCCAAATATGCTGCTTTTTATTTTTCCTTTTGGGCTAGTTAATGGGCAGCCTGGAAACATGTTCTGTACAAGATGAGTACAGAAAAGATTCCCTAACTTGATGAGAAAAAATGAAAAAGATTTTGTACAGGAAATGAATAAATGTATTGTGACACAAGGGAGACCAATTGTTACCTGATAAATCAGCATGAAAAAAGCAAAAAGGTTATACAACCTAAACACAACATCAGAACACAAAGCCATCCTAAAGAACGTAAGACTGAACTAGTTTATTGGGAAGGTGTGTGTGTGTGTGTGGGGGGGGACGACAAAGTCCAAAATCTACCCCATAGTAACTGCAGAAGTTGTTTTACAGGCTTAGACAAGTGAAATGCAGACATACACAAAAGGGAGCACACCAATGAAACAACAGACACTTACATTTGAGAATGTATCAAGGCAGTGCATTAACTAAAACGTAGCCTTTGCTGTAACCATACCCAGATACAAGGTGAAAGTGATTTAGTTTCTCAGAGCCCATGGTTGATCATAATATATGGGTTCAGAGCGCTCTGCAAATCCAAGGCATTTCCTTAAAGGACACCATCGCATCCATACAAGGCTGCTCAGCTTTTGTTTAACTTCACTTCTGTGTTTTAGATCCCTTGTTTGTCAGTCATAGAAGTTACCCATGTAACCATAAATCACAGTTAATGCAGCAATTTCCCCAACATCAGACGGGTTTCATTATATTTACAGTTTTTTTGTAAATATATAGCAGAAGAGATGATGCTCCAGTCTTTTTTCAAATGCCTAACAAATCAAGTACACTGAACTACATTAATTACTCCGCAAGCTGTATAGGAATATCACAGAAAGGCATTTTTATGAGATATGATTATTATTAAAACATAACCATATGCACACTAATTATAACTCTTCATTAGAGGACATTCAGAATACTTTTCCTCCAGACCACAGAACAATTATCAGGGGAAAACGCTTCATTGTCTTTCTAGTCTGCTCCACACTAGTGCTGGGGTTACCTTTATTTGTTGTCAGAGGCAAGCACTGTTTTCTCTAATGGATTGGCATTTCCAGGTCAGCTGAGGTCGATCTGTGCCAGCAACATTTTGGGGCTGTTCCTGCGTTATGTAATCAACCCCAGGCTGGCTCAGCCTGGAGCCATTTAGAGCCGAGACGGAATTTAGCTGACTTGAAGGGAGAAGAAAGCAAGCTTGCAGAAAGATTTCAATAAATGATAAACTTGCACTTGCTAAATGCCTAACACTTCTAAATCAATTAGAGCAGGGCAGAGATGAAACGATACATTATGTCTGCTAGCAAACAGTTTGAAACTTGTTTTCCAACACTTAACTTCCTTTTTTTTTTCGTCCTTTTATTACTGCATTTGGAATAATATTTGCTTCCTCGCTACTGAGCTGCCCAAGCCCAGGGCAGGCACATTAAGTCACACGAATAGCTTCAACAGGAGGCCACCTCTCCAAGTGCAAAGAAGCTTTAAAGCCCACTCAGGCTGTGAGCAAAGCTTGCTTACCTCATAAGGCCATACGCTTAATTGAAGCATGCCACAAAGGTCCAGAGATCCTCCAAGCAATGTCACCTCTTCACAGATCTTCCCGATACCCTCTGCTCTTGCAGGGGCCAGGGTCACTGCAGAGCCAGCCAGGGAATCCTTTGCTCTCCTGGAAGGGTGGTTTGCCAACACGTGGCCGTTAAATGGAGATGGTTTCCATTTTTGGTACAGCCTGAACTTCTACCAATGCCTATTTCAAATTTCACTACAGCCAGAGGGAAAATGTTTTCCTACTCTTAAAAAAAAATCCTCAAGAAGCTGGAAATAATGGTTTTCCTACCTTTATTTTTACACAACAGACAAGACTTTAGACAAGACTTCAGGCTGACAACTCTTAGTATATGTTGTTTTGATGCTGTGTCAAGCACAGCCATTCCCTCAAACAGCCTATTTCTACACAGTTTCCTCTCATTTCTTGAAATAAGCATTGTAAAATCCGATTTTTAACTTCTGTTCAAAGTGGTGATGGGCCACATATCTTCATTCAAATGCATTGCCGTTTCTTTCTTAGTCTAAGAACAAGTTCCTGAGAACAGATGTTGATTTCTGCTTACTTTGAGAGAGGAGTCAAGGAATTAATAACTTAAGCCATAAAGACATTTAGGTCCATATAAAAACTACACTCCAGAAAAAGATAAAAGCCTCTTCTTCGTAATACCAAAAAAAAAAAAAAAAAAGAAGCATTTTCAGTAACATTCTTTTCCCCACTAAGCCCCCCCCTTCAAACATACAGTTAAATATTTGTATGCAAACTCTAAAGCCCTAAATCCTATATACACTAAACCAGACCTCTCAATCAAATAGCATTTGAGTGTTGATAGAAATTTAACCCAGCCCAGTGAAGACTCGCATTATTCATTCTCTATATAATTCTGCAAGGTAGCTTCCATTCCCCAAAGTAAACATCTCAGATATGCATAAAGCCTTGCTCAATGATTATCATGTACATACAGCATTGCCTCCCTAGAGCTTCTGACCAATGCTTCCTTATCTCATAAGAGGCCCATAAGGAACACAAATATTCCTCTAGAAACCAGGTGTTTAAAACTCTTCAGAGTGTTTAAAACTCCTCAACAGCTACCACAAAAGTAAGAATAAAGCAAACAAAAGATCAGCTGTTAGAGTGGTAAAATATATGATTAGTCATGCTTTACATATCACTGATGTGAGTTTGCTACCAATGAGATACTGCACAAAGCTTAAATGCAATCTAAATGCTACTGACCTAACTTCAGGCTGACACGACCAAAACATATTTTTAGATTTTGGTGGCTACAGTAAAACGCGCCTTCCTTCAGCATGCAAGGTGAACCCCAACGTGTCTGCAGGGTTACCAAGGTGGGAGATGCAGGAAAAAAAGCAATACAAGTGCTCTGCCTCTGCATCCTACCATTGAGGAGCACTGTGTGTTTGGAGACATTCTTCAGGATCTAGTCATAAAGCCTGTGATAGTCACAGCACATAGCAAGGTACTGGCACACACCTCTCCTGCTTTGCAGCAGTGGAAGCACACTGAACTCACACCGTATGTACTGAAATCAGTCAGGGGTTTTGGACTACAGCTGGATTATCTCTAGTACAAGTCCTTGCATTCTGATACAAAGGACAAAGGGAGCTGTGGTGCTTGTAACTCTAACTGCGCTAACAAACCAAGTACTACCTCGTGCTTCCCCGGTGACAAACATGATGCACCTTGGCACAACACCAAGATTTGCACATAGGAGCACATGGACCCAAACTGCCAGGGACCTTCAGGTAATGGAGAACCCTCACTATGCGCTTCATCTCCAGGCAACAAGGGCAAGTCCCTTTAAAAAAAGGAAATTAAAATGCTTGCTACAAGTAATTCAAAATTATAGGCCAACTCTAAGAAAAGAATAAGGTTAATCAGTACGACTTGCTCAGAATTTATTAGTAGCTGCATTTTAAAGTTATGTTTAAACATCTGAACAGAAAAAAAAAAAAACAAAAAACTAGTCCTGAGATTAAGACGTGAGATTAAAGGTACAGCTCGTAGGGCAAGCATAAAAGACTTATCGCATAGTTTTTCTGGAGGAAAGAAGTGAAAGAATGTAAGGTTAAGAAAGTAAATGAGCGTGAGTTAAAAAGCTACTAGTGTTTTGCCTTGGACAAATCTGCTTCAATTAAATGCCAGGCTAAAACTTTATCAGCATTGAACATGTGCAGAATCCCACTGAAGACAATAGGACGCAGTTATATTTTCAAGTGTTTGTTAGATCAGGGCCTTACCTCCCCAGGGCAAAGTGTTTGCCCAGCACTCTGACTGCTTTCTGCTGGGGAAGATACGACATTTTTCCTTTACTGCAGCCACTACAGTCTTTTATATCATTAAGCTTCTACAAGTCTGCTCTCACAAGCTTTCTGCACCATCCAACACACATGCTCTCATCTCCGTTGACCCAACTTGGGTTTTAATCAGTACCTTCCCAATAAATTAGTTATTTTTAAATGAGGTGTAACATTTTCAGTCCTGGACAAGCATGCATGACAAATATTGTTTTGTATCCTCAGCTTAATCTGATACCTAGAAGCATGCATCACACTAAATCAATGAAGCTAAGGCAGCTGAAAGCCTGGCTTACATGCAGATTATGAAAAGAGCACTTAAACATAATTTACCCATTCCTCTCCACTCTTCCCTCCCCCCATTTCATTTTAAATACAGGAGCGAACTGCATTTCCACAGCAAGCTTACTGAATAAAATGTTTTCTCTGAAACATTAAAGAAATAAACACACTATAGCATCTTAGAAGAGTTATAGCAGTAGGACAGCTGGCAGACTTCAACTGCATGACCCAGGCAAAACCTTAAGATACTGTCATGTACACTGTACCCTGGAGATTTCATAAATTTCTGAATTATTGCATTCTTGTGTTTTTCCTGTCTTCTTTGTGCCAGCACTGGCATGTGCATTAAGAAAAAACAAAGTCAGAAGCCTGAAAAAGACTGCAGTCCAAAAGAAAGAAAAATCCTCAGTTGTAGAGGATATGAATGGATTCCGGCGAAGTATTATAACAGAGCCTGGAAAGAAGTGGGAAAGCTTCTCAATACCCATTTTTGTTCTAAAATATGGATATCTGCTGCCACAAAAGTTTCTCAGTTAATTCAGCAAACAAGTAAGGCATCACCGGAGGAAAAAAGAAAACTTTTTTGTGCGTGTCAACCAAGAACTCTCTTCCAAGGGAAGAATGAGTTTGTGATTAAAGCTCTGGATGGGGACCCTGGAGATTTCAGTTTAGTTCTTGTCTCTCTCACAGACCCTTAGGCATGTCCTCAGGCAAGATGCTACCCTACCTTTTCAATGGAAACAGTATTTTCCAGTCTCTCACCTCGAGTCGTCTTCGTTTCTGCAGTAGACCCCTAAGGACAGAGAGCACTCACACACAGCAGCACTTGGCATGAACATTTCCTGGTCTAGCTTGGGGCACCAGCTCAGCAGCAGTAGAGAAATCTGCCATCCTAATGGTGATATCTACCAGAGCATCTTCATTCCACCAAACAAAACCTTGAGGCAGAACTGTAAGTCTTCCAGTTACATGAAAAACACACATGGTGTACACACACCATTTTGTTGGCGACTCCTCTTGGTAAACAACTCCTGATAAAAGTTTTGTTGTAGGAGAAAGACTCAGGAAGCTGGACTGTTTATCAAAAGACTGCCTGTAAGCACGCAGAGAACCAAGCTCAAGTCTGAAAAATATGACTTACCTTACTCATGTAGTGGCCTCATTAGTCATGGTCACTAAAGATTTCCAATAATACTAAGAAAAAAATTAAGAGATTAAGTTGAATTTCAAGCAAGACTGAACACCATGATAGTTGCACTATTAATCTGATTCAACAAGAGTGTTAATTTGGACCTGATATCTTGCATCCATCGCTCAAAAGCGGTGACCATTACTATAAGAAACAGCACTTCTACTCCAAGTTAAAATTCCAGCAGACTGCACGGGAATAATTTGCTTCACTGTTTGTTAAAAATGGGGGTTTGCACAAAAGAGCATTTAATGTACCAGGATCTTCGGTATCTAGGATCTGTCACACATGAAGCGTAGGAGCACTGCAGTTTAATACATTTGTCCAAGACTCTTGTCACATTAGCCACATACCCAGTTTACTTAATTGTTTAAAACAGCATTAAGGAAGCAGAAATAAAGTCCCCAGAAATAAAACCTATATTACTCTTTAACTGCCCAGTTTTCTCCTATCATATGGTCTAAACACAGAATGCTATAATGTTATTTATTTTACTGCTATTGAAAAGAACTGAAGCCTCTTAAGTCAAATGCAAGAAAGCACACTAAAAGTATCTTTAAAGCTTCAAAAACAGATGACTACATAAATATTAAGTGTCTTACTCTAAAGTTATATTATGTCAAAGAGCCTGTATAAGGCTTGACAGATGCACAGTAATATTTCAGCGCTTAAATAGGAATTTCACTGTTAAGGACAAAAATATATAGAGATTATATCTTCATATATTATATAAATACACATTTGTGTAACTCCATAACATGTTAAATTTATTTTGGCAATATAAGACTAAGTTTTCCATCCATACCGGTCATCTTTCCATTAGCAAGTCTGAATTCACAAATTCAATCAAAAGCCAAAGCTGGAACTTAATTCAAGCATTATCGAGAAGCTTTGGGGTCATTTAATGTAATGTGTACATACAACTAAGAGTATTTTGTTAGCCATTCAGAGTAAAAGCATTCAACGATGATTCATCAGTTTTCCATTAGGAAGTAAATTTAATATCCTATGTATAGAACATATTATAAAATTTTCTAATATCACTGCAATTGCCCTAGAAAAACTTCAAGGTAAAAGGATGCTCTTACATCACAGACTTAATTCATTATTTTTAGATTTGCATTACATAACATGAAGCCAAATATTTTTGCAAATTTGTAACAGTAAGAAATACTCAGCAACCCTCACATTTCGAATTTGTGAAAGGGAATGAGCTTTGAAATCCTAAACACCTCTATACAATAGAATTTTGTGTCTCCATATAGCTCATTATATATATTTGTTCATATTCTTGGCATCTGAATGGAACAGCTGTGTTTTTATTAGAATAGCTTAAAAGCATTTTTATGGCAAATATACATACTAAAGGCTGTCAAGATGCTGCTTTGAGTCACACAGCACCTTTTTGCAGAGGTGCTGTTAGGTTTAATTTATAGCCTTTAAACTGCACTAAAAGAAAAATGAAGTAATCTATTACTATATTTAAAAGCTAATGATTACATGGTATTTTGAAAAAAATACATACCTGTCCCATAGGAGTCCTAAAACCTAACAAAAAAGCCTCATTCAGAAGCCTGAGTTCACACAAGAGCAATACAGAGACCCCAAGCAGAAATGTGCTTTCTGAAAGCTTTTTATGAGCCAGTGTCCCGATACCAGAGCTGAGAAAATGTTTTAGAGGAATTTTACACACACACCCTCCCCCCATTTCATATTTTGACCCTTCAAGGTGCTGTTTGAAGCTTATGTTTTGGGTTTCTGGTTACTTCTCCTGCAAGCACTGTGCTTGGCAGAAGGCTGGGGAGAAAGGGGTGCAGACAGCAGACACGGAGCAGTCCCCACCAAGAGTTGCAGCTGGCTTCGCTGGGATGAAGCGGGTAGAAGGGGGGAATATTGCTGAGCAAATAGTGGCTGCAGCTGCTCTGACATGGAAACTGCCTCTGAGTTTCACACTGATTTGAGTAAATCTGGAATATTCTTTTCCACCTCAAAATATTAAGCAACATCTTTTTTTTTTCCTCCTCTACTAGTGAGCTTTCAGTTAAGAGAGATCATTTCCCCTCCGCTCTCCCTTCCACTCCAAATCCTCTTCATGTGTGTGCACGCACGCACACACCGTCTCCCCCTGCCTCCATCTTACTCAAATTTTGAAAATGTTCCAAAATTATGGAGACTGTGTCTGGGATTTTATTTCGAAAGTCGCTGAAGCCAAGAAATCGCTGAACTCTTTCCACAGAGGTACTGCAGAAAAGTTTGTCAAAGGCCACGTTTTTGGAGGAGAAACACTTCCATAACTTCTAACTCCATCACTTCAGAAAATTCCAAGTAGTGTGATGACAAGTTCGGTCAGAAGCTGAAAATAGGTTTGGCAACAAAATACAGCGTGAAGAGCAGACCAGAAAGCTTAACTATCCCTCTTTGCTTCCACACATTCTGTGCCTCAGCTCTTGCCCTGAACTTCAGCAACCCAACCATGCAGCCCTGGAGCTGGCGTAACTGTAAGTCTCTCATCACCCACATATGTTCCGCCCCGCAAAGAAGACACAGATGTAGGTGTTGTGTTTTTTTGTTGTTGTTGTTGTTTGTTTTAAATTGTGACAGGTCATCTTCATAAGTACAATTCTGAAACAATTTGAAACTTCTAAGTTTAGGAAATTAAGGACTTGAAACTAACAGCTATGACAATGTGCATTTGCCATGCTTCTTGAAGTGCAAGCTGCAAATTAATAGTGAGAATCACCTCAGAGAAAGGATAAAATATCCCAGACTTCCTATAACTTTCTTGTATCCCATGCTGGAGGAAAGGAACAAATTCTAAGACATGCCACATTCACTGCCCCTTCCCTCTGAACTGGACCTTATCGTTCTCACTGATAAGGAGCCTCTGGCCCAGTCAGGCACCAACAGATTTACACAAGCAAATTCAAGGAAGTTCTACAGGAATTGTCACATTCAGTTTTGCCTCAAGCAACGCGAAACAAACAAAAACAACAAAAACACAAGATCCTTTTACTGCAAGACCTGGTGATATCTCAGATGACTTTTCTTATGGGATTCTTTAGTACTAGTTCTTAGGTAGCTCAAGGTCAGCCTAATTACCTGGAATACATCACTGCTTTGCCTTTTTACCATCTTTAATTCTGTTCAATGCTTGAAGTAATATTAACTCCAGATCAATGCAAGAAATCATTAATTACTTGATATGATTCACAAGAGAAGTTAGTATTTTGTTAAGGACCAAAACAATAGTCAGTTACACAGATCAGGACACCAACACGTGTCCTGTGCTGAGCCACTGTAAGCTAATGGCATAGTTTCCTCCAGAATTAGCACCAAGCCCAGAACTACAAATGCAGCCTGCAAGTCAGCCCCAAAGCAGCTGTTCTGGTTGAAAGCATTCTGTTCTGATTTCCCAGTTAATCTTCATTTTAAGCAATCAGGTAGAGATGTATTTTTTGATTTTTATACACACTCCTGATTCAAAAACAACAACAACAAACAACCAATATACTGCATTCCAGGAATTAGGCTGCTATTAGAAGAAAGAATTCAATTTAGAATAGCAATTTACGCTTATTAATAAAAGCCTCTGTGCATACATAAATGAACACGAAAGTAGTGGTTTAAAAAGAGATCCATCAGTTAGTTACAGTATTGATCTATGATCAGCTACTTTTATTTTTTTTTCCTCCAAATCAATTGAAATATATTAAGCCAGCCTATTGTAAAATACATGAAACAAGATACTGCAACCTAGAAACTGCCCGGAGAAAAAAAAAAAAAAGTAAATAACATCTGGCAATTAGGTGTTGCACTAACATAAAGAGACTTGAGGCTGTATATTGTAACTGAAGCATTTTAAAATACCTGAATCCAGAGCCCTATAGACCCCTCAGCATTTAAACAAATAAGAGAAAGATGCCATTCATTACATCTTTTTTAGACTTTTCTTCTTTAAAAAGCAAGCTCCCCAATCAATGATCTATTGCAGATCTATCAATGATCTATTATCTGCATGCCAGAGATCTCAACTAACTAAAGCACCACCTACAGTGTAGGAATTTTAGTATCAGTGATAAAAATAATATCTGGCACATGCACAACTGTAGAAAGGAGTTCTAGTATTTGCGATGCCCTTGCACACTGCATCTACCCCAGTACACCAGAATAAAATCTACAGTATGAGGTAGTACCGAGAATCCCAAGAAGAACCAGTCCCCCAGCACACTCTGAATCCCTGGCTTTTCCATGAGCTACAAGGGGTCACAACGCACACGGCCAAGGTGAGCAGGTGCAGAGCAGGGCAGCTCCAGGCTCCCACCAGCACATCCTCGAGCCCAGCTCCACTTGTCCCCCCTCAGCTTCTGGTACAGGGGACACTGGGTTCATAAAGGCAGCGCCTCCTGATATGGGGTAGAAGTGACCTCAGCCTCCTTTGCATGTAACATACCAAGCATATTGTCTGTCAGATCCACACAATTCACAGTTTTGACAAGAGACAAATGCCTCACAGGCTTGCCAAATGGCCCTGACACCTCAAACTTCGATAGCACATTAGTGTTCATGAAAGTTGCAGCTAGTTCCATTCCACACAAAAGACCGTATTTCAAAAAGAATTTTTTTCTAAACCAGAATGAAAGTCCTACGCACTGAGGACTCCACACCCCATGCAGCAAATATCAACGGAGGGATTGGTTAATCCCAAGAGCTACAAGGCTCACAGCTGCAGAGCTTCACAAAAGCGATTTTCAGGCAGGAACAGAGAAATTGAGACACCTCGGCATCGAAGACAGCACATCAGCTTTCCCCTGGCTCTAAGTGAGGGCGGGGGAGACTCATACACTTGTTAAGCACATAAAGGTCAAATAAAAATGCGTATTTTAAGGTTGCCATCAGACCTGACCTTTGCCGCTCACATGAGACTTCAGGAAAGAACATTTTCTCTAAAATATCGAGAGAGTAGGCCTTAAACACAGAAATATCACTGCATTTTTGCAAAGACCAATTACTATGTATAAGCCCAGTGAGGAGAGCACAGATTTTCGTCACAAGAATTGCAGTCTGCCTGTGACAAGCTGTCTGTTCTGCAACAGGACGAGCACAGCCCTGCCACACACACCTCTGCCACCTCAAATACTGGTGGCACCACCACTGGGGCAGCAACAGCCACCCTGCTGGACCTGCTGGCTAACTTACCAGCAGCTGCCAAGAGACCACCACAAGGCTCTGCTACAAGAACTAAATTTCAGTCATTATCTGCAGTGAGTAACAAGTTGATCAGTGACACCTGTAACAGCTATGATCACCCTCCTGTTGTTCTGGTAAACGGAGCCTGAGGGGCACTTACTTGCATTCCATCTTCAAAGCCTTGTCCCACAGAGAAGAATTTCAGGGCACGTAAGCAATCCATACAGATCCGCTGGTTCCAAGTCCTGCGCTCATCAGCCTGGGGTGCACACAGCAGTACTGTTACCAGCTGCCTAGGAAGATGCTCAGTGAAGACGATGGCAGTCACCTCATTTGCACATCAGTACTTTGTACCTGTCTTTGAGCACCTAAGAACTCTGTACTTCACCAAAAAATAGGTCAAACTACAAAAATCACTATATTCTTAATTAGCAATAAGCTAATTTAATAAAAGACATGAACAATTGTAGTGACAAAAGCATACAGCAAATAGGCAAAAAAGTGTGCTGCACCAGGGAAGTCAGTCACGCACGCCCAGTTGCCTAGTCCAGCAACACTTGCAGGGAACAGTTGCAGCAAAGCCTTGATTATCATTATCTGTGTCAGCATGTCAACGGAAAGAACTTTCTACTTTCCAACCACTTTTTGAGATTAGCCTTTTTTCTTAAGTGTTCCACTAATTGTTTCTTCTTCACTTGCATCAGCAGGAGACCCAATTATAGCTCTATCTTCAATTTGCAATAACCTCCTTTTTAAATAGCATAAGTCACCTTTTCACCTTTTATTACAGAGATAGCATAGAGGTCTGATAGAGAAATAGCGCAAATCCTAAATTCCATTTTTCAGAAATAGGATTTTTATAATTGTTGGTCACTTTCTGTGATTTAATTTAAATCGCATTTACATCCTAATATGACCTAGAAGAAACTATTTCACAGTCATGGTTTTCTGTATGTAGTTCTAGTTTTTAACATCATCTAAAATACCTCCTATTGTTACTGATTAAAACCCTCACCTAAAAAAAAAGACTGGAAGAAAAATGACTATTTGGACAAGTTTACTCCCAAAATCTCAGTGTCACTAAATCTGCTGTCGTTCATTGAAAGTTGTTTTTATTTATTTATTTTTTTTAAAGGTAATAAGTAGGCTATCTATCCTTGTGCATGTAGACTGTTAACCTTGAATGCTGCTGCATGAGGCTGACTGATATGTATTGGATACACAGAGCTGAACAAACCAGGACAGTATTTAGTTGGAGCAAGCTCCCAAGAAGCTATTAGTTGTGATTTCAAGACGACAGTTCTCACTTCTATTGCATAATTGCATTTGCCACGTGGAAGCGAAGTTCAACAAAATAAACAACAGTTCAGACCAGCAATTTCTGGAACGACATACACAGTCTACTTTAAATGTATTTGAGGAGCAATGACAATAAATCAAAAGGAATGTCCTCATACATACTGGGAACCCAAATCACCAGAAAACCATTCAGCTATCACTTTGAAGGCAATCTTATCATCAGCTAGTAACACAACCAATGTTTTAAAATAGCATATGTAAGCTGAGTTTTAGAGGTGTGTTAACAATAATTAATATATTATTGAAAACCAGAAGAGTTTTGTAAGCTTGGAAGAAAAATGAGCCTTACTGAACTCCACTAAGCAAAAATTCTTTCAACTCAAGATAAAAAAGCCACTGTACTCACTGGAGAAAAGGAAGGTTAAAAAGGTATATGACTGAAATCTTTAAGATGCCAGAGGAACTAGCGGGATAGTGCTCCTCTTGCTTTTCAGAGGCCAAACACTTTGAAATAGCAGTAAACACTAAAAGATCACTAGCAAGGCTGGTGCTTCTCCACCAAAGTAAACAAGTTGATACCTGCAGATAATTTGGCTCCAAAATGGGAGACTCGTTTCTAAAAGCAGCACATTATTTTAAACTATTGATGAAAAACAGAAAGAATTTTTCACAGCTATAATTTAAATTTTCTTATAAAAGGCATACAATAGTCCTAGTTTCCCCTTTTTGCCTTTGAATGGTATACTCTTGACTGCCTGAAGTCTTGACTCTGCTGCTAGCAGCAAGAGTTCGAGTCCAAGGGACCAGTTAGAAACTGTTCACAGAACAGGAACTATTGTCCCAAGCTCTGCTTTCCCATTTCTGAGGGGCTGGGACCTTTTCTGCAATTCAGTCTTCTTGCAGCTCAGAAACAAGGAACACTTCCTGCACTTCTCTGAAACATTCCTACAGACTCTACTATCAAAAAGCTTCATTGCCAGAATCACGAGGAGTGCACCCCATAGACAAAGAAACAACCCCAAATTTTAGTTTCATGTTCTAGTAACAATTTTAAACCATTAAATTTGGTGAATCCCACTTAGAGGGGGAGAGCTGGTTTTTAAGAAGCCCCTATTCTACAGCACTTACCTGGGCTTTCTTCTTCTGTTCCCGGCCAAACTAGTTCAATATGCACCAGAACTTGGTAAGGAAGGTCTGGAAACTACAAGTTTCTCTGATCACTAGTGGGCAGCAATTGCCAGACATTTCCATGCCATTCACATTCATTGAAACAAACCTTTCAGGCTCCCTGCTGACTCAAGACAAGCACCACAGCTCCAGAAACAACCCCTTATTTTTCCTCAGGGAAGGCAAAATATAGGAGTGTTTTATCTCAGTACCGTGCTGTATCCATTCTCCCCTCTTTGAAGAGCTTTATTTGTATGTGTTACATGAAGTTAAATACTATTGGAAATACACTAACAGGAGTACATATTTCTTGTTGCAACTGAATCACCTGTAGTTGGCTATGGGATATGGAAGCACAAAATGAAATTTAAGAACACGGTAGATGAGAATCAGTTTCACTGCATGATGAACCAAAATATACCCTATATTCCAACTTGGAAATAACTATTTTACTGCTGGTCCCCATACAATTAATAAATAACACTCACCACACAATGACATGAAGACAGAAGGGGTTAGCACAGTGAAAGCAGCACGAGTGGCAGCAGCGTGACAGGGTCTGTCCTCCTGTCCAGAACGCACACAAAGCCATCAAGGAGTGCAAAGGGAAAAAAGAAAAAGGCTTCTAGGCTATGGTGACATGCTGATTGACTGGCACAGCGCACGCATAGTGAATCACAACATGGGTTATAAAACACTGAGATCCAGGCCTGCTCCATGTCTCCAGGTATTCTCTAGAATAGCACTCCTGATGTAGCTACTGCTGCCACATATCTAAATTAACGCCTGAAGTGACAAGGAGCGCAGTTACTACTGACAGCAAGGCTTTTGTTTACAAGTTCCCAGCCCAGCTTCAGGAAAGAACAAAACCCATTTTCCTTACCTTCGGGTAAACTGAAGTTGCCAGCAGCAGCGCCCACACCAGCAGCAACCCCACACACCCACCAGCAGGCCCTGAGGTAACGAGGCCCGGCCCACTGCTGGCACAGGGGGAGTCAGGGCAGCCCACAGGCCAGGACACAAAACAGAGGCTGTACAAAGGCAAAGAGCACCTGCAAATACCCTCATTTAAGGGCTGCCACAGGTGCAGTAAACTAGGTCTCATGACCTCTAGGAAGGATCCAGTTTTGCATAACTGGCAGATAACACAGGTCACGGCAAGTTGAAATCAGAAGGACGTGGGTGGAAGTGTGAGCCCAGCTTTATTTGTATGTGGAAGAGAGACTCCAAGCTGACTAAAACATGACGCTAATACAAAATACAACAGGTTTGGGATTACTGTCACACCCACAGCACTTGTAGTGCAAAGCAAAGCCCAGCTGGGGTTTGCCTAGCTCCCACACTAGGGTGGTGGCAGCAGCTGGGCTGGGGCCTTCCCCATGCTTACGGTGACTACCACCTCTCCTTGGGCTCTTCTGTGTTAAACCCCAGCCACAGCAAAACCCCCTCCTCCAGAGAGCTCTGAGATGGGGGTGAAGCAGGCAATACAACAAAACAGCTGGTACCCCAGGTGCTTGCCCTCATCCTCTGGGTAAAGGGGCTTACTCCATTGTCCCTTGATCAAATAAAACCCTGCACCAATGTTTGAGGTGAAAAATCCAACCCACCAGTCTGAAGAAACTGCTTTGTAACTGCTCCAGAGCCATGGTTCTTCTCACAAGACTGTGGGCCGCTCCTGCAGGAGGGGACAGACACAGAACCTTTGTGGCCTCACAGACTTCCCAACCACCCCAACACTGCTGCAGGAGTGTACAAATAAAAGCAGTATGCTCTTGTGCTTTTATTATGAATTCCAAAAACCTAAGTGTTAAAGAAATTACAATATTTAGAGGACTGAGGTTTTTTTTACTTTAGTCAAATCATTTGCTGAATTTCAAACAGTTCCATTGATGCCATCAATCTATTCTGAACCTGTAGTCTTTTGGTGAAATAATTTTGAATCTCAAGTCAGGAGAAACATGTTGCAACTAATACATACTCCTGTCTAGAGCATACCATTCAAATGAATAATAATAATAAGCTAGTGTATATGCTAGCGCAGATTTGGTTACTTACAGGTAGTGTATTCTGAACTGTACATGTACGTAAGACAGACAGCACATTGCTAGTAGCCAGTGGAGAATCCCTCTCAGTCCAAAAGTCTGCATTTTCAGAGAAGAGCATCCCTGAGCCATTTCTATCAATGTAATCTGGCAGTAGGGACAACGGTGAATGCAGCACATTTTCACAAGCTTTGACACAGGCAGCTGCTCCTATAGCCCTGGTGGGGGCTCACCACATCTGAAACAAACAAAGTTGGTATTATGCAATCATTAAGTAGTGGATACTTTCAGGAGCTAGTGACAGCATTGTGGTACATACAACAAACAGATTGAAAGAGGTGCAAAATGTGCTGAGCCTAAATAAAATACTGTGTATGGCACAGAATTATGGCTAACTATAGATGATGAGTTATGAAGCCAGGTAAGTGCATGAGGTATTAATGTGTGATTCACTTTTGATATGTCAAAACAGAGTTTCAGCCAAGGAAATTTCATTCATGCACTTTCTAGAGAACTGCATCAGATCTGATATGCCTGTGGTGTTGTGTTTTATTTCCAAAGCTCCCTGCACCATTCTGGTAATTTCTGCTTCTCCTCAGGGAGCATTTTCACATGAGATCTCCTCAGAAGACTGGGTTGCACAGCGCTCCCGTTTTCCCACTTCAGAAATTTGGTAAGAAATGTTTGAGCAAACACACTCTTTATTGTGCACCACAACTAGTACCCCAGAATAAGCTACATGTTGGGATGAATTCACATGGCTCAGTTCCTTGGTGCACACAAGAGAATCTCTATTGCTGCATGACACAACAAGGCACATGCACAGCCAGGAGGATTTCAGCACAGAATATGCCGGAACAAGGGACTTGCTGAAAATCCAGAAACTACCAGCAAACCCTGTTCTTTTCAACTTTTTCATTTTATATATAAATGGAGCTCCATTATATCCCCAGGCCTTATTTATCAGTCTTCAAAACCACTATCCCAGGGTGTTTATCTCTTGCTTTAAATGGCCAGCACATCCAAAACGCCAGCAGGCAGTGGCTACAGAATGCTGCCAAACATGCACACACACACAATGTCTAAACAAAAAACCCAGGTCTACAAGATGAAATCCTAACCATGATGGTGTCATTCTTTTATTCTTTATCTGAGATGTAGCAGGTGTGCAATCCTCTGTTGTGTCTTTTTTTTCTTAACAGGTGGAAAATGTCATCTTGTCATGAGAGATACAATGTAAAACACTCTATTGCTCCATTGCAGTGGTTTATGTATCTCGATGTTGATCACCTAACAATGGGATACAATAGCTTTTTATGTTCTCTGAACCATAATTTAGTTTGTCAGCTACTGGAAAATATATTTCAATGTTGCACCCTGCAAACATGTAAAAATATCAAATGCATTGTATTGTTAATAATATGGTTGTAAGTCATTCATGGCAATTAAACTTGCATTACAATTAAATCTCTTCTGACCATAATGATGTTCCTGTTATGCCATTTTATTACTGCACAGTGAAAAGTACAAATAAACATATACCCTGCAAGAAAACGTAACGTGCAATACTTGCTTGTTTTAAATGCTTTTATAGATTGTCCCTAGGAAACGTAAACTGGCTTGGGAATAACCATGATATGAAGATTTCACACAAAAAATTTGTTTTTTCCCCTGTTTATTTTTGTCATTGACCAGTATGCCCGCTGATTTCCAGTTATATTCTAGTACCAGATATTTTAACTATTTTGAGCCTTGGTGGTAAAACCTGAAAACCTGAAACCAGGACAAACTGTCACTTCCCAGTTGAGAATCAATGAAATAGTAGTGCTACCGGAATAACATAACTGATTGCCCATCCCCAGCTAGCAACACTACTTTGCTACGCTAAATACTGTTGGCTTTATCTTAATAATAAAAGAAAAAAAAGAAAAAAAAAAAGAAAAAAGAAAAAAAAAAAAGAAGCCAACGAGATTTTAAGACTAAAACTCCTTTTCAAGGGGTAACACAAAGAAAACAATTCACTGCACTGGACCTAATACCAAGCATTTATTTCCAATAGTTCTGGTACTGGGTATGCAGAAATGTCTGGCTAGCTTGCATCTGAGAAGGAGCAAACATTACTTTTTGAAGACCTAAAACCAATTACTTTGTTTTGTACTGGAGTTCTAATGCACTTTAACCCCATGTTCTAAAAAGATGAATTCAAACCAAAATAAGCAGAGACAAGGAATACCAGAATGATGGAAGAGCTATTGTAGAAAATAAAACCTTTGGCATGCTTAGTCTTAGCAAATCTAGGGCTAAGAGAGTATTATTTATAGAGGGCAGTCATATCTGACTGAAAACGTGAAACCAAACCCTCCAAATACTATAAAGATGGAGCCAGAGTCAGTTATGAAAGGAGCTAAGATGTGGCTGCTAGTTATTGCCAACAAGTAGAGCTGTTGCCCCGCAAGGTTTGTTGTAGTTCAGTATTTGTTCCCGGCCACGATAGTGGAGACCTCAGTGAAGAAGAGGTCATGGTGGCTAACAGAGGGAATTGAGCTAGAATGCAGTTTGGAGGTGAGCTGCCTCTGCAGGACAAAAGCTAGATGATGTCTTACTGCTCAGGTGTACACTTCAAACAAAATGTTCTTCTCTTTCCTAAATTGCGTTAATTACCCAGTCTTGCCTTACAGGGAACATTAGATAGTCATTAAAGCACAGTGGTAGGAACCATAAGGTTGGATTCTCTCTTAACTCTTTCAGAGCTTTATTGTTTTTGTGGGGTGTATATTTTCCCCCTCTAATCTCCATCATTACTACTAGAAACAGTATTTTGTTGTCTCCCGCAAGGGAGATAACAGATAAATGATGGATTATTGAAATTACTTTTCAAAAATTCTCTAGACACCTATCTACATCTGTAGATCTCTAAATGCATTTAATATCTGGCCTTAAAGTCCTCCAGGTTGGTAAAGTGTGGCTACGCAAGTGCTGCAGAGTTGCGAAGTATCATCTTGGCTATTAAGTATACAGGTTTCCTTGGATACAAGTCAGGCTAAATCATTATTATTTTTTTCCCCTATATGTTAATAGACTTTTGCAAATTAATTAAGGAAGGAATTGGACATACTAAGAGAATTACTTGAATGATGCCTGAAGGATTACTACTTTTTTAACTTCATTTGCTTGAAAAAAAATGAGAGCGGGCACAATTGTCAGGTTGTGTATCTGAGTCTTTATAATGTTTAAAAAAAAAAAAAGTCTTTTGTGTTGTACAGAGAGGAGAAGAGTCATCAGAGAGCTTTTCAGCATTCCATGTTATTCCTGTTGCTAAGGAAACTTTCCTTCATCTGCGCTCTGTAAGGCATCCTCAGTAATTCCTCCACAGAAGGACAGCATTACAGATCAGTGTCAGAAAAATCAGCTAACGATAAACCAGAAAACTAGTCACTGAAAAGTTTTAACAGGAGAGTTCCTGATTTCTTTTACGAAGCCCAGAATAACATGCAGTAGGGAAGAGCCTGGAGGAACTACAGCAAGCCTGTATGATTCCTCGTCTTGACAGAATTTTCCTCAAGAGGCAAAATATAAACAAACAAGAACAAAGCTAATCATTTGGCTTGGACTTTGTAGCCATTTCCCATTAGCTTATATCCTGTACCTGCTCAACTGTACTTTCTAAAAGACAAAAGAAAAACCTCCCTCTCATAAAGACTAGTACAGCTTTACTATCATCTCTATTTAAGATGCTTTAAAAGTAGCAGGAAATAATGGTATAATCAAAATTCCTGTATTCTCTAGTACATTTCACTATCTGTTGCATGTGCTCATTTTCAATCTATTACACACACCACTATGGCTTTAACCACTGCTCACAAAACAAAGTACCACTTATTGTGAGAAAGAGAGCGGAATTTTCTTATATGTGACTAGATGAGAGCCTGCTCTCTAACTTACATAGTAAGATTTCTTATTCCTTTCCAGCGAACGTTTACTTGCTTTCATTATGTAAGTCTTGAAATACAAGCTAGCAGCTCCTTAGTATGAACCAAATATAAAAACATTGCATTTCTGGGGGGTCTTTGGAATTGTGATCCTGCCACGCTCCATGATGTAGTAAGGATGCAGTACGTGTGTCTCTTCCTACATAAACAAGATCTGCCGTGGTGGTGGAGACCAGCACTGTCTAGCTAACCTCCTTTCTCCAGCAGCATTTTACTACAGCTACATCAAGAAGAGTGCAAGAAATGGGGCTCGAACAGTGTGACTCTTTCCTGACATACTTTCCAGAGAAGGCAGCTTCCAGCAACCACCAGTTAGAAAGGATTAAACCTATTGCTTTACCCTGTCCATTTTGTCTAACATTCATTAATGACCTTATGCTCCGTGCTTTTGTTTAATTGCTTTTTAAAGCCATTTGCACTTTTGCCTAGTGTTAAAATATGCATATTGGTCCCAGTAGTGTTGCTCTCATAGAATATGTGATACAGGGGACACTAGACTAAATTTTAATTTCCTATACACTTATGTATCGTAAAAATGAGTGAAAGGAAAGAATATGAAACTTTTCTTCCCTGAAGGGTTGTAGTGGCTGCCTTACACTATGCCACCTCTAGTATTCACTTAGAAAATGCTACGTCTCCTGAAAAGGAGACAAACCTTTGTATGCTTTACCAGCACTTTATGCCGTGTCTCTGCTCTATTAGAATTTCTAGTCGCACTTCCACCATATTTGGTAAAGAGTGTATTTGCAGAACTAGTTTTAGTTTTTCTCTTTGCAGCCACTTCTTTTGACATACAATTCTTACCTGCTTCAGGACTGAGATCAATGAAGTTTCATCAGCAATACATTTTCTTTCTTTCTTTACTCACAAAGTAACCCAGCAGTATTCATCCCAGCAGATAAGCAACTCTACTGCAGGCAGAACTGGTTTCACTTCCTGATTTGGATGTGGACTTACCTGATGCAACTTAGAAAAAGGCATAAAAGAGACCTTTCCAGTGGCATACTTTCTGAAAAGATTTTACTTTATAAAATGGATCTTGATAATATTAATTTCCTATTCTAATGATTCTTTTTTCCAGGATCACAATGTTTTCTATTGTATCATGTTGTAAAGCTACACAGAACAGCTTCTTTTTCCATTACACATGTGAATATGAGTGATTCGTATACATACCATGCACTGAAATATACGTATCTGGATATTGCATTAACATCAACATCTGTACCTTGGCTTACAACTATACGCAGTTCATATATGTATAACTCCTAAGTGTATGTATATTTTGTACATATAGCTTAGTAAATATTTCAGTCCAAACCTTTTCAGTTTTTTGTTGGGTTTTTCTTTCATGCAGATGATGATTTCAAGCCATAAGAATTTTCTTTCTTGTTCCTTCTTCATCTCCTGGAAGACAATCCATGAAACATCTCCAGCACCATTGTGTGACCTTCTACACCAGCCTGTCAAACATGACCACAATGTTCCTTCTCTGGAACCTGCCAAAACAAGTCTTAGCTGTGGTATACATGCAGGTGCTTATATATAAAATCTGTGTGGTGCAATACAGCAAACCTGTAAGCAATTCCCTCTTTCCAACACACTGAGAACCTCAAAGGGATACCATTTCTTTTCAGATGGCTTAGGTTTTGCTCACAAGACCTCAGCTTTCATCTTGGTTAGCAGTGAATCTGAAGGAATGGAAAACACTGAAGTATTGTGGTATGTCTGGAATATGAAAGATGCATTCTGTGTTGCTTCTTTGATGTTTCATGAAAGAAAACTGAAAGAATACAAATGCAATATCATTAAAACACTTTGCTAATCCAGCAGAAATTGAGAGGCTTGGGCATTGTAAGTTTTTGCTTAATACTCCTTCAAACTATGATTTGTTATTTGTTGAGGAAAATGTCTTGAATAATGGCTTTCAAAATGACAAAAAATTCTAAAATTTCTTGAGTGAAATGTGGAGGACCATTTCTAAACCACCATTTTGAAATACTTCGAAGTGACAGTTGCTGGTTAGAGAACAAAAAGCCAAATGGTATGGTTGGGATATACAAAAAACAGAAGATAATGATGCATGAAATAAATGGAGAAGAATTGAGGAAAATACTGGAAAGTGGAAGTGCAGAAAACAGTTTGACCCACCAGTGAGCTTAGTCCTATTTCTATGGAAATGAGCTCATTACTGCTAATTTTTTTTAAGCTCCTAGTTGATTCGTGAAGTGCTTTTTGAATTCCGATAAGAGCTTCATGAATCACTGAAAAAAACATTTGAACAAAATATCCAGAGTCAAATCATTATCAACTCCCATAGATTAATCAGCTTGTCTGAGCACTTTATGTAACAGAGCATGCACTAGGAGAGAGCTTGCTTTCTCCCCTGGTACAGTAAGTCTATAGCATTTCATTCTGCAAAGAAAAGGGATCATACTTCTGAAATCTAATTCTGGATGGTAACTCCATCCAAGAGTCTGTATTAAATAGGAAAGACATCTTTGATTTTTTCCCCTGCTGTTTCCATGTTTGATCTGTTTTAAAAATCAGCATCATGAGAATTGGCCATAGAATCACTTCTCATTCTTCAGAAATAAGAGCATCTGTGGTATTCATACAAATGGTGCTTTCACATTTGTAACCAAGTCAGCATTGGCTGTAGGCACTCCTAAGCAGAAAAGGGGAATGCCTGAGGGCCAAAACATTGGTTCTTCTTAAACCTGCAGGATTCTGAAATACAAAATCAAATAAAGAAATGCATTTAAATAGCAAGTGAGCTTTATTTATTTTATAAAAAACAGCAATTTTTCAGATTGCCTATAGACATGAACAGAGTACATGTCTGTGATACCCTGGATTTTTAACTGAACAATGCTGACTGACTTTGCATGTTATACAAAAATCATCTACACTGAACACCTTTTTATTAATTCTCTAAACACTTCAAAAAGAATGCCATGGGCAAATTCTGTGACTCTCTGCTAATTTACCTTGTACTAATTTTCAAGGTGTGTGTAGGTCACTAGCATCCTCCAGCATGCATCTTGTAACAGTGCACTTGCTGGAAATTGCATGAAATAAATCTAATCCTATTGCATGTTGAGCGCACAGTCTCACTTTTCCAACACTATTCACATTTAAAATGGCTTTGTATCTCATACTTAAAAACATGACACACAGAACAAATAATCAGCCCTCATTAGATATGCCCAAGCCTTGCTGTCATGCAGATGTGCATTCTTTAAACAGTTACAGAATTACCCATTGGTAATTGCAAAGAATGATTAAGTGACATTTGAAGTGACGAGTATTTGGATTGGCTTTTAAAAAATGTTATATAAAGATGGATGGACAGATACACACACCTTTCTGCAGTTCTGACAGACCTTAGAAGATTTTCTTTATAGGACTAACACAGGGCTGAGATATATTTCATGATAAATTACATAAGGAATTGCACTGGTGTAAATAAGGAATAATTTGGCATATATGTATTGAATAGATTTATATTGATTAAACAGATTTATACTGATTTTTATATAATTCTGAATCCAATATTAATTTTGGAAGTTGGTTATAAAGTTATAAAGCATTATGTTATTCAGCTGATAACATTATTAATAACACAAAGAAAGTAGTTTCATTGTATATATTCCCATATATTTGGGAACTTTGTGAGACAACAAAGCTGCTTTGTTAAAATACTTCCAAGGTTTTATTTTCACATCACACACTTCTACACTTCTCAGGGCACCAGAAGCATAAAGAAATCAGCATCTGAAGAAAAACAAAGACAGAGGATTGATGTGGAAAAAGAAAATATCAAAAGCTATTTCCCTTAGCTGTGAACTGTTATGACAAAGTTGTAGAGGTGAACACAACTTTGGAGGGAAAGTTTGTGTGCTCTGCTTATGCAGCACACTCTGAAGGTCCAAAAGCACTCTGCTATTTCTGAGACCTTACACTCCCAGGTTTTTTAATTGCATCTTGATTTTTCACATTACTGATGCCTCCTATTTTCCTATTTTCCTCAAGGGAAATCTATGGTGTAGAATGGAAGAACAATTTTATATTTCAGATTATTTAGTATTTTCTCTTTGTTATTTATTTCCACTTACAATCGGGAATTATACTTCTTATTCAATTCTGAATTCAAGACGATCAACCCCCCATTAAAACTAAATTAAAATATAATAGTATATGTATTGTATACAGATTAACAAAGATTAAGCTCCCTTATGCTGGGTATAAATCAGACCTAGACCAACAGGTAGTTAACATTCAAAAAAAATTAAAGATAGGCAAAGCACTGGAAAATGACAAAAAAAAAAAAAAAAGTATTTTGTCAGTATTGTCGATCAGATACAGTAAAAAACAAAACTTACTTTTCCTTTGATTTATTTATATGGAGCTATATGGTGTTATATGAAGCTATGGACACTAAGAGAATGTGAAGACAAAAAATCACCGGGTGAACAATGAAATTACTGGAAATAGAGGGAGATCCTGGGGAAGAGGTGGAGAGTTGAGAAAGAAATACTCAACAGAAGACTGCTGGTAGCACTAGCAAGCAAGGAAAAAGGAGAATGGCCAGAGCAAAACAAAAAGTATTGCTGATATATCTCAGATCAGGCTATGCTCTCTCTTTCCAACTCTACCCTCTTTCACAGCTGTGCTTCCTAGCTCCAGACAGACATCCCCATCTGTGCAAAGTTCAGTTGGAAGTTTGATTTACAGATTGCACAAATGCTGTTTCAGGGACAAAGGTCACCTTTCAAAGTAATTTATAGTTCCTTTCCTTACTGAAGTTAAATTTAAGCTCTTTTTTCTAATTTTGTTTTAAGGCTAAGAATTACCTAATGCATAAAATTCTAGTTTTGCAGCTTTGTAAAAGACATCAGGCTCACCCATTACTATGGAAATATAGCCCACTTCTGCTAAAGAAATTTCACCAACAGAAATTTCCTTTACAAAATCCCTCTCGGCACAATGCAGTAATGGAAGGACAGGATCTAAACACTCTTTGCCATAACAAAGCCTTTTTCCCCCAGAAATTAATGAAGTAGCTATACTTCATTCTCTTATTTGCCTGCACTTTTCCACCAGTAATTTGTATTACTTTGCCTTTTTCAACAAACCATCGTTTGGTTGGGTGGACATCCTATTTTTCATTTGGTTTCAGTATTTTAAGAATACTAAATTGTCAAAAAAATACATTAAAATATTCTTTTTTGGTTTTATTTTTTTTCTAGTTAAAGTAATTATACAAAAATGCGCATGGTTCATAATTCTGTGTCCTTCTTTCTCTGCAGGCTAGAATCTGTACAGAAGGCAAGCTCATATGGGAGGTAACCTAAGCTTAGGCCAAACAAACTATAAAGCTGGCAGTGACACCAGTTGAGTCTGAAATTCTCACTTGTCTTCCAACAGCAGCACTTAATTTCCTTGAAGAGGGAACAAAATTGCCATAATGCAGATGTCCAAACCCACTCGTTCTTGATGGCAACAAGTATTCTCTAGTATTCCTGTTTATCAGTGAACATCTAGCTAGCCTCATGGCACTAGTTTTGCTTATTTAGAGCTTCTAGGTGACATTAAGAGACTGATGCAAGCAGACTAAATAGCTTCTTAATGCCCCTCTTCTAGCTAAGCAAGCATTTCAGCGACACTTCATAGCAATGCTCAAAGAGTCACGATACCTGAATAAGGCAATATCTGTGTAAACATGTGGCTTGTGCTATGCACGCGTGTTTGATAGCTTTGCCATCAGATTTCTGTAAAGGAGTTTTGGTTACCTCTAAGAATCATTTTAAAAAGAATGTCCATACTACATTCATGTGCCATCCCCCCCCACACACTCCCTCCCCCCCCCCCCAAAAAAAAAAAAAGACAACAAATAAACAAACAACAGAGATACTTATTTCCACTGTTAGACAAGAAAACACTACTTATCTATGGATAAAGAGCATAAAGAGCAGCTGCAATGCTTAATCCATCCACAACATTCAAGTCTACTACATGTTACACAGTAAACCAGAAACTCTTTATTAAAAGAAATATTTACAGAGATGCCTCAACGCTGTTTCCTTGCTGTGGGTATGCATTGTATTATTCTTCCTTCCTCAGTCCTATTTTTTCCCCTAGGATAGACATATTCATGTTTACATTTCAAAAATCATACAACAATCCATGGCAAGTCAATATAAAAACACCAGGAAAGTGATACTATTGATCTGAATACACAGGCCTGATAAACCCAGTGCCCTGAGTGACTGCAAAGATTAAGCATGCCAGTACTTAAGAGTTTTTCCTTTTAATTGAACTGTGCCTTCTTTATCCTCAGGAACAAAATAAACAAAGAAATTACAACAAAAAAGCAAACCAACCTTGCCTTGTCAGTCTATGTGCTCTTTCCTTTTGTGGATTAAAAAGCTCTACTGTAGTATATTGACACTTCTTAAACAAGCATGGTGAATTAAGAGCATTTACTCAAAACCTTTTTTATTTCCTGTAATTCTGATTAACAGTACTTTCATCTAGAAAATTTTAAACATATGTTTTACTTTTCATCATATTAATTTTGACAGACCTCCTTTATCAGTACTTTAATTACCAGCAGGTAAGGGAGGCAAAGTGAGTATGACATGCTATTACTTCTGCTTGATTTGAAGTCTGCTAGAGAGACTCTCTCTCAACTCATAGCTGAAATTGTCTTATCTCATACATTCCCAAGATTACTGTTTCATGTAAATGTCATTTTTGCTGTCCAAAACATTAAAAAAGCCCACACCACTGCAATATAACTACTGTCTCTTTCTGAGAGACATGAGGGAAGCTGTATGCTTTTGATCAAAGACAAGATCCCGACTTCAAAGCAACACCTCATCTGTAAATATATTACACAGTACTCCTAGTAAAGAAATGGGGACTCCTTGATTTCAAATAACCTAAGGCTAAGATTGTGAGATTTGCCTGCATTCTCAGAGTTTTAATCTTACTGCTCTGAATACGTACAGAAAATTAGACAAAAAGATATTACAGACTCTGGGTTCTCATCTCTTCTTATTTATCTAAGTCTTACAGCTGTAGTCTGATACTTCATTGAAAGAAGACCTGACTTACCCCAGACTGAGAAAAGAACGCAGAAAAACTATGAATTTCAGAGGCATCAGAGATTTTTTACAAAACCTGTCTCCCTTCCACTGACAGAAAGCAGTTGCTATATACCTGCAGATGCTCTACCACTAATTTGATTGGAATCTTCTAATATTTTCCTCTATCACCAGTGGATACGTTTTCATAATTCCTTTCATTGCCACAGTACAGAAAAGCGAAACAGAATTCCAGGTTATCTTCAGTGGCTTCATCCACTCAAAGACAGTTGGGAAAGGACATTAGGTTATCACATAATATGCTAATCAACATGGACCAGGATGGTATCAGATCATACAAATAATATTAGCTATTTAAGAGCCAACTCCAGAGCTTATATTTTCACACACAATGAATGTGCATGAATGGGTCAGTTTTACCATCAGCTGACGCTATCATCAACAGTGCAAGTGTGCAGGTATCACTTTCATCTTCATGCACAGTCAACAGGAAACAGCCTAAGACACTGAAATCTGTGACACTTTTCAGTAAAAACGTTTCTTCTCCAGCACAAAAAATAATTATAACTTGGTGATCTAGGTGTATATTATAAATCACGCTATTAATTTTCTTGTATC